GGTTTAGGAGTGTGAGGTTTAGGAGTTCAGGTTGAAGGGTTTAGGGTTTAGGAGTGCCGGGTTTGGTGGTTTAGGTTAAAGGGTTTAGGGTTTTGGGAGTGTGGGGTTTAGGAGTTCAGGTTGAAAGGTTTAGGGTTTAGGAGCGTCGAGTTCAGGGTATCAGGTTAAAGAGTTCAAGGTTTAGGAGTGCCGGGTTTGGTGGCTCATGAAAGGGTTTAGGGTTTAGGAGTGTCGGGTTTGGTGGTTCAGGTTGAAAAGTTTATGGTTTATGGTTTAGGAGTGGATGTGGTTCAGGGATTCACGTCCAAGGGTTTATTTAGGGTTTAGGAGTGTCGGTATTGGTGGTTCAGGTTAAAGGGTTTAGGGTTTAGGAGTGTCGGGTTTGGTGGTTCAAGTTAAAGGGTTTAGGGCAGGGTTTGGGAGTGTGAGGTTTGGAGGTTACAGGGTTCAGGGTTTAGGAGTGCGGGGTTTAGGGGTTCGGGTTGAAGGGTTTCGGGTTTACAGGTGTCGGGTTTGGTGGTTCAGGTTAAGGGGTTTAGGGTTTAGCAGTGTGGGGTTTAGGGGTTCAGGTTAAAGGGTTTAGGGTTTAGGAGTGTCGGGTTTGGTGGTTCAGGTGAAAGGGTTTAGGGTTTAGGAGTGTCGGGTTTGGTGGTTCAGGTTGAAAGGTTTATGGTTTATGGTTTAGGAGTGGATGTGGTTCAGGGATTCACGTCCAAGGGTTTATTTAGGGTTTAGGAGTGTCGGTATTGGTGGTTCAGGTTAAAGGGTTTAGGGTTTAGGAGTGTCGGGTTTGGTGGTTCAGGTCAAAGGGTTTAGGGTTTAGGAGTGTGAGGTTTGGAGGTTACAGGGTTCAGGGTTTAGGAGTGCGGGGTTTAGGGGTTCGGGTTGAAGGGTTTAGGGTTTACAGGTGTCGGGTTTGGTGGTTCAGGTTAAGGGGTTTAGGGTTTAGCAGTGTGGGGTTTAGGGGTTCAGGTGAAAGGGTTTAGGGTTTAGGAGTGTCGGGTTTGGTGGTTCAGGTTGAAGGGTTTATTGTGTACAGGTTAAAGGGTTTAGGGTTTTGGAGTGTCGGTTTGATGGTTCAGGTGAAAGGGTTTAGGGTTTAGGAGTGGATGGGGTTCAGGTTAAAGGGTTTAGGGTTTAGGAGTTTGGGGTTCGGGGGTCAAGTTAAAGGGTTTCAGGTTAAAGGGTTTAGGGTTTGGGAGTGTCGGGTTTCGGGGTCCAGGTTAAAAGGGTTTTTTAGGGTTTAGGAGTGGACGTGGTTTAGGAGTTCACGTTAAAGGGCTAAGGGTTTTGGAGCGTCGGGTTTGGTGGTTTAGGTCAAGGGGTTTAGGGTTTAGGCTTTAGGAGTGGGTGTGGTTTAGGGGTCCAGTATTGTCGAGTTTGGTATAGTGGTTCAGCAGTTCAGGAGTTTTTGGGTTTAGGAGTGCAGGGTTCAGAGTTGCAGGGGTGCCTGATGTGGCTTTGCGGGCTTTGGAGCGCTAAGATTGGTCTGAGCTTGACGCTGCACTTACGAATCAATCGAATGTGAGATTGTCTCAGGTCTTGTCGGTGGGGCAGGGTTTAGTCTATTAGTCAACTTCAGGTGAAGTTCAGAGCAACGATCGGAGTTCGTCTTGATTCTTGCTTACACTCCACACCCCGACCCACCCAATTCCTTGCATGTGCTACAGCCAGAGCGTTCTTGTCTACCCTGCTCTTCAACCGAATACAGCAACTCCTAGCCTTGAGTCAGCCCTGCCGTTGCCCTGCATCGGCCCGGAGCACTCAACCTACATAGGCCTCGAATGCTGTCGCCATGTAAGAAGTCTGACACAAGCGGTGACGCTGCGTTTGTGAGAGGCAACTGCTGGCTGCTCGACGGACGACCTCAGGCGGAGCTGCGTTTGCGGCCAAAGGCCTCGGCGACTTCCGGGAATCGGGGCTTCTGTAGCGCTGTAGCGTTCTACTGATTGCCAAACCACAGGTACCATGGCAAGCAGGCGGGTTCGGGTTTTCGATGTCTGAGTGTGGAGGTTCTGTGGGAGGTTTTGTGAAACTGGGTTGTAGGGTAGGTTGTTGCAAGATTCAGGATTTGATTTCGCCTTGGACGTTTTCGCAAAAGTTGCGGTTCACAGATGCAGAATGTTATGCCTCTGGGAGGCAGGTGGGCAGTGCTCTGGAGCTGGTATGACGATTTGGCAGGATTGTCGTGCGGTTTATGAAGGTGGCGAGGGCCGAACATGCGAAACAAAGGCAAACCGTGGAGCCTAAAGTAGTCGAAGCTCGGGCAACCCCCTAGCCCTTCCCTGAGCCCAACAGGCCCACAACCAACGACCTCAGTGCCCCAAGCATCAAAGCCTCGATCGGCGCGAGGGTCCACCTGGGGGAGCATCCGGTGCATCGGAAGAGGCCAAGGATAGCATGCGCCGATTAGATAGGCTTTCATCAGATGACTCTTACTATGGTTTTGGGATCCGAAATGAGGGATCTGCCCTTTCGTGCATGCCGTTTCGGCCATGGTCCTGGGAATTACCAGCAGGGTCCGGAACATCCGGAATGAGGAGGTCTTCGCTTTGGGTTATCAATGTCCCACCAAAGAATCCTGAAGCTTTCACTTCTTGAACCACGCCTACTGCGAATGCCTCCAACCGTTTAGAGAACGCGACAGAAACCCCGAACAAGGATCCTTTTAGAAAGCATGCCGCTGGCGCCACTAGAGCTTGGCAACCTAACATGTTCCCTGAACAATCCCAGAGCTATATTGATAATTTGTTAGCCGTAAAGCTGAAACTTAAAGCCGCAAAGCAGTCAGTTTAACTTATATAGATCTGCAAGTTCGTAGGAAAACAAACGAGCATGTAGTTGACTCAATCAGTTCATGACTACATAGGTATCCGAACACAGGAGCAAGGAGATGCACAGACAACTTGGGAATTCTAAAAAATGATCAGGTCCACAAACAGGTGTGCTTGTTGTATACACACGCACCTATCACATAATACATGACATACATACATGCATACGTGCATGCATGCATACATATGCACGCTCATGCATACATGTGCACACATATGCATACATATGCATGCCATATGCATACGTATGCATACATATGCACACATATGCATACACATGCATACATATGCACACATGCATGCATGTCTACATCTAGACCGTCTATACCTACATCTAAACCTATATCTATCTCTGCAGCTTTATATATCCCTATATCTACGTCTGTATCTGCCTGTATGTCTATATTTACATCTATATCTGTATCTGTTCCTGTATGCATATCTGTATTTGTATCTACATCCACATCTACATCTGTATCTATATCTATCTATATATATATATATACACCTTTAAAAGAGATTACATGTTTTATATCTGCGTGTATACAGCGATTCACATACCTACATACCATTATGCTATCGTACACTACACTGCAGTAATATGTCATGAAGTTTAAGTTTTTCTAACAGTCCATTTTTGTGTGTTCTTGAATGTTACGGCGTGCTTAATTACATTATGTAAAATCAAAACACGTCATAATGTGTTCCATTATACCTTACTATCTTATTTACGATCGCATGTTAGGTTTGATTACATACATACATGCACGCAAGCACACATGCACTCACACACACACACACACACACCTACACACTTGCATACACGCATGCACACATAAGACGTACACACACACATTCACACACACACATACACACATACCCGCATGCCCGCATACCTGCATACATACATGCATCCATCCATGCGTGCATATGCAAGTCTACACTTTATGCGTGCGTGTGTGTGTGTGTAACTGTATAAGGCCATATACACACTCTTACATATATATATATATATATATGTATATCTGCATGTATATATATATACACACATATGTGTATACATATATATATACACACACACACATACATTCCTTTTTCTATATATATATATATACACAGAACATATGCATATACAGATACAGATACAGATGCACATACATATATAGATACACAATACGTACATATATACATACATACACACACGCACATACATACATATGCATCAACATTCATGTATGTCCGCTTGTGCCGATTATACAAGTCTGCCTGGAGGCCACAGGCCGGGGCCTCGCCGGCTCTGCGTGGAAGGTGCGGCTGGCCATCAACGGGCCGGAAGCCCAGGGCTTGCGACGTTTAGGGTTTAGGATGTTTGTCGAGTTTAGGGGTTAGGGTTTTAGGGTTCGGTTTCAGGATCTTAGGGTCGAAGGGGTACAGGGTCCGTGATACAGGTGCTCACGGATCCAGGTTGGAGACATTGGGAGCTCTCGGATGCAAGGCAATAGGTTTCGGTCCCGTCTGCTGTATATCGGGGGTTGTGCTCAGCCGCGAATCGCTCGGCTTTTCGAGCAGAGGTCTGTGAGGTTCCACGTGGCATTGACATCTTCGGGTCTGAAGTGTTGGAGGGCTTTTGGCTTTGATGGTTTAGTCTTTGAAGGGCGGAGTGGAAGCATCGCCCTTCGAAAGCAAACCAACTAAAGGCTTGTGAGGCAAGTGGGCTGATTGCGATTAATTACGACTGTTCTCGAACTCTGCCATTGCCGCGGTGTTGAGTCGTTGCTGCCTGCAGGTCACGGTATTCCTATTCTGCTGTTCTCCTGGCACTGATGTAATCCACTCATCCCATGTGACTTAGTGCGTGATGTCCAACATCGGATTGAGACGCACTGATTTCGGCACTTGGTCGCCGAAGTATCCCCTCAATGCGAAGCGAGAATGCAGCTGCGTTCCGGATTCTCGAGCCCAGGAAATGGCGCCTGGTGGCCCGGTGCTCAGCTTGCGCTCTTGCCTGGTGAGAGCTGCGAGACAGGTCAGGGCTTCCCTAGTCCCGTTAAGGTGTGGTGTAGTGTTGGTGCTGACCAAAAGTTTATCGTCCGGCTGCATGAGGTTGCTGTTCCGGTGATTCTGCTAGTGGTAGGGCCTTGCCCCGCGCCATTACCTTCACTTGCCATGTCGCTCTGCATGGTGCTCGTGCTGGTGTTGCCAGCCCTGGCCGCCACAGAGCCTGTTTCAGAGGGAGCAACCGAAGACCTGGCAGAGAGTTCCTGGAATAGCTTCCTCTACTGCAAGTGCGGCCTGAGCTGCCAAGTGGAGGATGCCTCCTGGTATGCAAACGGTCCTTTTGGGTCCTTGTAGCTCCATCCCTGAGCCGCCCTGAGCCCTGAGTGTTCACCGGCCCAGGTTGGTTCCTGGCACGTCTTTACCCTTGGGTCGGCTTGCGGCTGCTTAGAGTGCCCGGAGCAGAACGGCACCAACTCTCCCCTGCCAAGGACGGGCAAGGTCGCAGATTCTGGGCCTTTGATTTAGGAGTCTCTCTCGACGTGATTTCGAGTTCAGAGTGAAGGGCATGCGGGCCGGAACGAACTCTTGGAGGTTTCGACCTTCTGGGGGGTCCTCGGCCCTTGGCACGGCGCCTACAGTAAACTGATACTGCATCTTTTCATCCACAGCTTTCAGCCACGTGTCTCAGTCAGAACTCAACCATAACCCAACGCTTAGTGAATCAACCGAGCTGTCAGCACCTGAGCAGGTAGTTGCGAGACAGCCAGCAGAAGTGCCGAAGCAGCCATTGGACGGTGATGCAGCCGTCGCCCAGGCTTCGGGGAAGCAGTGATCGGAAGAGTAGGGATACTCAGCACCTGCAGGTTCAACCTAGTGGATACAGGATAAGAGACTTCGGCTTACCATGAAAGCCTAGGCACTCGGATTGATTTTTTTTGCGGCTGAGAGAGGCAAGCCCTAAACCTTCAGCAGCTGAAAAAGCGGCCTTCGTGAAGACATAGTCTTGTAGTTTCAAGGTTTTGAGGTCAGCGCCTCATGAACCAAGTACGCCTCGTTTAATTGCTACATGATAGCTTTCTTGAAGGCAATCGGCGCGGAGGTGTCAGCGCCGACGACGAAGCTCAGGGCCACGTGGGACAGCGCCCACATGAAATCCGCCAACCTGCTGTTTTGTGCCTCAGCCTGCAACTGCTTAGCTGGAGACGGTGTCGACTGTTTGGCATTCATGGCAAAGCTTGCGGATTCCTGCATATCCTGCCAAACAGACCACCACGGATCGGGTGCATAGAGTTCCGTAGGTAACGAGGACCGTGGCTAGAGGTAGCACTGTGTTCATGGCCAAGGCAGGTGCGGCAAACACTGCGCCAAAGGCCGCATTCTTGGCCTCTGGAATTATTGGTGCTATCGCTATGAATGCAAGCCGTGCTAGAGTGCAGAACACCGATGGGTAGCCTTTGTACAGTTGATTTGGCGTTGCCGCGACCACCCCCAACAGCAGCGCGAGCTGATTCCAGGCCCCTGCAATTTCTTGCCACCGTTTCAACTTGGGGCGTTTGGAGATGTGAAGCTCTGTCCAGCAGCCGTGCTGAACAGGGGGGTGAGGGATCGACCCTCGGAATTCGCAGTACAGACGGCAGCCAAGTCTCTTGAGCACCATTCGCAGGTCAGCTCATGCGGTTCACGCAGTGACCTTGGTAGGCTGTCCATACTGGGATCACATCTTCCGAGACTTCCGTGATCCGAAGACAGCCAAAACAAGCGTCTTACCCCTGGGACCTTGCCAGATGTGCACGTAAGCATGCATTTGAACCCTGTTGTTTAGCCAGCCCTAAAAACATGTAAAACAAAGCAGGGTCCAGTTGGCTTCCCGTCTCGCTGAGGTACCAGTAGGACAGGACATTGAGAAGTCGAGATGGATGTTAGGAGAACGGCATTGGTTTGGAGCTTCAGGCTGGCTGTCGTTAAATTGCAAAGTCTCGTTTCGGCTGAACCTTAAGTGGCAAGGCATGCAACCCTTCTCTTAGCACCTAAACCCCCTAGAACTGAGCTGAGCACCAAGCCGTAGCCTCAAAACCATGTATAGCCTAACCGACCGGGCCCAACCTTTCCCTGATTGGTTAGTGCCACTCAGGATTGGGAACGTCTGGATCAGCCCTTGGTGCCAGTAGTGCCCCTGCAGATCTGAGTTTCGGTTCTTGGATCTGGTGTGGGTATGTCGGGCTTTGCGGTTTAAGGTTGTCGCGCTCCGTCCCAGGACACCAGATTTCATTCAAGCGCCCCCTTCAAAGTATTTAGGGGCTGCGCCCAGGTGCGGGCAGCGCGAGCTGTTGTCAGAAACCCGCGGTATATAGAAAAGTGCAACGTAGGCCCGAAGTCCGCAACTTGTGGGTGATCGTAGGCTCTCAGCCCCCGTCGGCCCTGCATGTAGCCCGCACCCCCCGTCCGCCGGACCCCGCTGATGCTCATGATGCGCGCCCTTTGGCGGCTTCCGCAACCCGCTCAAAAACTTGGTAGTTATGACTTCGCGCCCACGTCGCGCCGCCGGCGCCGGTTGCGGGCGCCCGAGGGCTCATGATGCTCGCCGGCTCGCCTCCCGGGGTCCGGGGCGGGTCGGCGGCACTGTCGGTCGTGGCTTCTGCTTCGCAGACGAAGCTCATTCGTCTGAGCCATAGCTCAGTCCATACAGGGCAGCGAAGCGCTGCCCGATTTAAGAGCCTCCGGCTCAAGCCGCCGACCCCGTGGGCGACAAAGCAGAAGCCGACTGCATCTGCACAGGAGCTATGTGGGGACCAGGGATGTGGGAAGCAGTTTGGGGCCACGGCTTACACGAAGCCACTTCTTGGCCCCGAAGGTTGAACCTTAAACCCTAAACCCCAAACCCTACCCCGCAACCCTAAACCCCGACCTTAAACCCTCAACCCCTACACTGAACCCTGACCTCCAACTTCAGCCCCCTCAAACACGGGGGGGGTGAAACCATAAACCTCTAAAGGGGTAGCTCTAACAGGTACCTACAGCAATGGCTGCATGCTCATACATATACATTCCGCTGCCCATTGGCTCACAGTGGTTTTACCATATTGAGACAAGACAAGCTCTCCTTGCGTAGCAAGACAAAACAACTACTGTCCGTGTGCAGGGCGCTGCCCTTTGATCCTTAGGGAATAAACTGGTCATACACCTCCTTACAAGGAGTATCCCTTGGGGGTGTATCGGCACAGTTTTCTGGTAGCGGAGCCCGGAAAGGGCCGCCCGCCTCACAAAGTCCGCTACAGCGGTCGGCCTCGCCGAACGCTTAACCAAGCGGACAAGAGGCAGCACAATGTCGAGCTCGCATAGCGAAGCCGACGGCAGTTCCCAGTCCTCCGGGGGATATGAGAACGAAGAGACCTCCCAAGGTCCAGCTACTTATGTCGCACAGTCATATGCAACATCTGACCGCATGCTTGCATCATTAGGCATAACGCCCAAGATCGCGCCTGCCTATGATGGCACCACCTCGTGGTTTGAGTATGAACAGTTGATTGACGACTGGTGCGATATAACAACGCTGGATGATACCAAAAGAGGTCCGTCTCTCAAGACGAGGCTCTCCGGATTGGCCGCAGTACAAAAAGAATCACTCAACAGAGAAAGGCTTGCAGCCCCAGACGGAGTAGATTACTTCAAGAAGAAGATGCGTCCATTTTTCGTGAAAGGAGAACAGTACGTTTTCCTGTGGCGTTTTCTCGGCCTATTCAAGGCATGGAAGGGCAACCAAGACTTTGTGACTTGGATTGCTAAGTTTGAGATCGTGCTACAGCGCGTGAGAAACTCATGGATGGATCTCTTACCAGAGATAATTCTGGAAGATGCCCATCCTGATTTCATGCAGGCTGTGCAGGCAGATCAAACCTTCATGCGCCTACAGGATGCAACCGAGAGAGACACATACGCCGCACGTTTCTTCGAAACATGGAACAAGGAACGCCTTGATAATCATCGAAGAGCGTTTCCTCTAAATGATAATCTCCTAGCTCTCCTCTTCCTAGTGCAGTCCGACCTAAATGAGATGCAACGTGAGAGGTTGGTAACAGCATTGACCAACCAAGGTTACCGAATTGAGACCTACACGTACCCTATAGTACGGCAGACCATGTTCGATCAGTTCTCAACGACCAGAACTGGTCTGCAGGATCCCAATATTCGGCACACTTCTCACAAGAAGGACCGCCATGGAAGGAGAGATCAACGCCGCAAACGCGGAGGTCGAAACTTCCTCATCCTCGATCAGGGTGAATACGACGGAGTCGATGGATTCTGGCTCCAAGACGAAGACACCCTTGAGGAAGGCTTTCTTGCCGCCGAGGATGAAGAAGCTGTCTTCTGGACAGTTGACGACCATGAGGCCTTCGTTGCAAGGAGATTCAAAAAGGGAAGAAGACCAAGAATGCGTCCCGGATCACCGGGAAGAGCAAAGGGTGGCAAGCGAAAAGGACGTGGCCGTTTTAGGTCATACCGCGGAAAAGGGAGAGCCAACCAGGCAGAACATGATCCAACTGATTCCAGCTATTTCGGTAAAGGTAAAGGAAAGGAAAAAGGAAAGGGTGGAAAAGGCAAAGGAAAAGGAAAGGACAAAGGAGATAAAGGAAGCTCCTTCAAGGGTACAAAATCAAAAGGCAAAGGTAAGGATACAGCTAAGTCTGCCTCCTTACAAGGAGACCAAACTGGATCTCCACAGGCCTATGAAAGTTCCACCGCACCGAGCTGGGATTCATGGTATGAGGACAGTTATTATACTGACTCCAGTTGGAATTATGCCGCTTATGACGATCAAACGTCTTATACATACTATGCATCACAAGCCTCACGAAGAAAGACACGGAAAAAGAAGAGAAGAAATCAAGCAGGATCATCAGGTAGAGGCACAGATCCGAGCGCGCACCAAGAACCCGTGTACAACTCATCAGTGAGTTACGCGCCCCAGGTTTTTGAACCATCCGAGGGGCAAGGTGTGGAGACTGCAACAGCAGTGTTTCCGTTGCAGCACACCGTCCTATCTGCTCTCACCGAGCGGATCAATCTTGATAAGAGCCCTACCTTTGTCATTCTTGACTCTGGTTGTACTAGGGCTATGGGTTCCCGCTATGCGGTGAACAGGCTTATCAAGGCCGTGAAGCAACATGCCCCAGGCATGATTGATTTCACTTTTTCACCTTCGAACACGAAGTTCTCTTTCGCAGATAGTGAAACAGCTCTTATCAAGGAGCGTGTAACTCTATGGTTTAACACAACTCCAAGAAGAGATACAACCATAGAAGTTTTGGATCAGGGAAGAGTCCCCATCTTGTTCTCCATTGAACAGATGAGAAACCTAAGAATGACCCTCGAGTGTAGTCCAACAGCTGACCTAGCAACGTGTGAGGCCTTTGGTTTGTATAAAACCCCTCTTCCGATTAGTACCAATAACCATTTGGTATTGGACCTTTTAGGCTTTACTTCCACCAGGAAGTACCTTCCTAAGTCAGGTACATCGTTCCGTGCGACGGAGACTGCTCTAGGAGCCAATAAGCCCTATGTTAGGATACCGGAAGGTCGCTGTCCAGCCTGTGCCGGACAGAAAAAGGCTCACACGTACCTCAAGGGTTGTGACAGAGCACCTGAGGGAGCAGCTGATCCACCACCGAAGAGGATTTCAGGGAAGAGGAAGCCTCTTCCATCTGATCCGGCAGAATCATCTGCCAAAAGACTTGATCCACCAGAATCATCTGGAGATGTTCCTGAGCCTTCCGGACCATCGGAACCATCATCAGGCTCTAGAGACAAACCTGCAGAATCCTCTGCACCGCATGAACCTCCAGAAGAAGAAAGACTTGAGGTTCCATCTGCGAAGATAAAGACTCCAAAGGGTCTTAAAAACCTTCTGAAGAAAACCCGCAAATATGCGGACAAACCTCCTGTTGAAGAGAAGTCTACAGTCCCAGGAGCCGATGACGGGACGGAGGTAAGACCACTTGAGTCAAGAGAATACCCTGCTCCTGGCACAGACTCACCAACAGGTGAAGAGATTGTCGCAGAACCTTCGCCATCTCTTCCCATTGCTCTTCGCAGGATTCATGATAAGCTTAAGGACCCTGTAGAACTCTACAAGCTTCACCTTAAGCACCGTCATATGAGTACGGATCAGTTTAAGCGACGCACAAAAGCCTTACAGATCCCAAAGGAGATCTATGAGCTATATGACCAACTGGTCAAAAAGTGTTCAGCCTGCCAGGAACATGTGAGAGCTCCTTCAAGAGCGAAGATTTCTGGTTTAAGATCAGAGACTTTCGGTGATCTCACCTTCGTAGATCACGGTGAGCTTCCAATTCCCGGCAAGGATAGTCGCTTAGTATTTCTTATTCTCTATGATGGAGCAACAAACTTGTTGACTGCCGAAGTAGTCCAGGA